TATTTATCAGCTAATAAAGGTGCGATGAAATTTTCAGAAGTTGATCTAGAAAGTGATCACATTACTTCTAAAGGCTCGTTGTTGTCATCTGCTTGAAAGATGTTGCATTCATTAGTTGAATCAGTTCCATTAGCGTCACTATTGAAACGAACAAAAAGCTCGGTGGATACAAAACGAGGCGATGCAGGCTTTCGGACGATTTGTGAGTTTGTTTGTGTATACTTGATTTATTTGATGTTTATTGCCAATGCCCGATGCGTCGCTGTTTGCAGTTGTACGCAGTGGTATCTTCGACGCATGCAAAGGTTCTGCGTATATTGAGATGGGATCGACGAAGGTCGTTTGTACAATGTTGGTTTTTGAGAATTACCATTTTGATCTTTCATTTTGCAGATATGTTTGTGATTGATGCAATTCAATTCTTTCAGTGACGGACCAAAAGAACCGACGAAAAATTTGGATTTCGATTGCGGTGAAGGTATTGTTAACGTAAGTTTAATGCAGGTTTCCAAATCAGTTGAAAGTGTCAGCATGCGGTAAGAGTGATCAAAAAATTTTAGATCATTCAACGCGGAATTGACTAAAACTCAAAAAAAAACTCATTCTGATTTGGTGAATCGCATAGTTGGACGGGAACTAATTTCTGTTCAAGCGAGAATCAGTCGCAGGTTGACTTGATTTGAGGAATATGAACAAACTCTGGGTTTATTGATTTGGAATTGTTCTATACCATGAAGTTAGGTGACCATCAGAGAGAAACAGATGACATTCATTTGGCTGGAGAGACAATAAAATTTTCGAGTTACAGGTTCAAGTAGTAGGTGCCGTTGAGGGTTCAAGTCATACGATTGAGTCGGCATTGAAAGCGCTTATCGCACTCGAGCAACTTTCTAAGGTATATCTAACTGCTGTCTGCGTGTACATCTTGCCGATTGTACTGAAACACTTTTTGATTTGTATAAGGAAATTTTTCTTATTTTGTTATGTTTCAATGAATTGTTTGAAGAAAAAAAAAAAGAGCATCGAAGACTGAGCTCCTTTCATTGCATCTTATGATAGCATCTAATGCAATTTTGTCAGTTTTTCCTCTTCCCGAAGTGAATTCAAGCCCAAATTCTTGTGCGAATCATTCGTATGGAAACATTGAATCCGTATCATTTCATCAGATGCAAGTCGACGTCGAAGTGACAGTTCTGGATGATGACGGCGGTGTACTGGCGGCTATCTTAATGTGTTCTTCACTGGCTCTGTGCAATGCCGGCATTCAGACGCTCGATATGTGTGTGGCGGCCTATGTGATAATAACGGAAAATGGTGAACTGAAACTGGATGCATCGAAATCATCGGACTGTCACTGTGCTGCATCTGTAACGCTAGCCCTGATGCCGTCTCTGAAACAAGTGATTTGTTGTGAACAAACTGGAACAGCCAAACTGAAACAGTTCAAAGAAGCCACGCAACTGGCCGCTAAAAGTGCTTTATATTTATGGCCAGTCCTCAAAAATGCAATCAAGTGATCGGAAGTTTGATACATTTCTGTTGTTATCGATAATGGTTATTGTTAATTAACTGATTGATCTGCATCATAAATACGGCAAGTTTAAAGAGAGAAATGAGCAACATATTTTCACTACGATGTTTTTGTCTTCGTCAACAGAATCTAGAAAACTTCACGTGTATTAGCTGAAAGTGGAATAAATAAATTGCAAGCTCTGTATGGTATGAAAATTGCCATCTCTCATTCGTTGCTACATTTTATCGTTCTATCCTTGGAAGGACACTAGTGTATATTCATTCAAAGTTTTGCCTCAATATTGTTTACACTGTTATTTGCGTTGTTGTCGAAAATATTCACATCGAATCAGGACATTCACCCGTTTAATGTGCTCACCGAATACAGCGATTACATTATTTATTTGTTCACTTAATCAGCAATTACAATGTCAATTCATTACGAGTTTATGCCTCTCTGTTATCACATCCTTCCTTCCTTGACATCCTTCATTACGAGCATCTAAAGATATTGTAGCGCAGGAAGCCACGTTTTCATGGAATTCTAATGTCGACTGTTGATTTGACTCTCACAGAGATGTAGGGCTACTCTCCCACATTACTTAATGATTTCTAGGGAGAGGGACTTGAAATGAACCCGAAAATCGCTCTGCTTGATCGATTGAACTTGCGTCCAGAGCAGTTGTTTAAAACATCTGACATCAATAAGTCAGTAATCTTTCGGAATTAATAATAGACAGCGATTACATTAAATAACACTAAATAACAGGTGTAACTCGGCAAATCCGTAGCGATCGGCATATTAAACAATCTACAACTAAACTGAGCACAATGTTCATTATGTCATTTGTATAAACACGCGACATAATAGACACTGTGCCCAGTAAAACAACTTGATAATCTCTAATTAAATCATCAACATCTCATCTGCAATAAAACCGAAATTACAGAAAGGCAAAACAGTGCAATCAATGAAAGCAATAAGTATATTTGTCTATAAGCATTGCAGAACCAAAACACAAGAACATATACAGATACGAACTGGGAAAATTAGCACACAGCAAATATTGAAATTCAAAAGTGTACAGCAAAACTGCAAAGACAATGACGACATTATGAAACGGAGCACGAGAACAGAAGAACATAAAGACACAACTTAGATAACGATAACAACAATCGTAACGATCAAAATTGTGATACTCATCAACAGATTATGCTCTATATTACAACAGTAATTGCCAAAAGCACAATTTAATTTCTTCTGAAAAAGCAGAAAATAGAGTGAACAAGAAAATGGAAAACGAATAATATACTTAATATGCGCTACTTCATACATACTATTGTATAGACATGAAATTTCCAAGTTGTGATGCTATTTCAAATAAAAACTGGATCGCGAAACTGTATTTCTTGCCAGAAACAAACCGGGATTACATGCTCAACATCACTATCAGTTCAAAAGAGATACAAGGCACACACGAAATACAACACAATAAAAGACGTTCGAAGGTAGTGAATATCACAAGGAAACTTTAATCAGTTGTCAGTTTCAAAAGAACAACGACGAGGTGATGAAGTATCGACTTTCCTCCTTCTTGAGTATCTTGATGAGACGATCCACCTGAGCGCTTGCTGCGGCTCGTTGAACAAAAGGACTCAGCACACAGTGCAGCTCGTAATTTGCAGTTATCTACAACGAAATGAATTTATATCGGTTAAAATTACAACAATGTACTTTTTTAAAATTGATCGTCACATTTCAATAAAGCTTCAAATATCAAATGTCAAATCCTTCACTCATCGCAGACTAATAAATCTATTTTTCCTTCCAAATAAGAATAAACGATTCGAACATAAATATGATTTGAATCATTTGCTGCAATATTGTGCATCCGACTCTATTTCAAATTTCTGAACCAAAATCACAAACGAACACGAGTGATAATGCCTGAATAACGTCCAGCGAATATAAATCTAAATGAACTCGAAAAGAGCTCACACAAGACATAAGACAATTGTACGGCGTTGTGGCGAACAAAATTTTCGGTTCGTTCGCCTCCGAGTAAAAACCGACGACTTTCTTATAATACGACAAGAGGGTTCGTCGTTCCGCGTCGTTCACGTACGGTATCCTCCATGGCGAACAACACATTTGTGCTGAACAGCGGTTTTTGTAAACAAAATGCCAAATGTCCGGAAATAAGTTCTGAAAAGATAAAACAATCTGTTCAAAGGAATTAACTCTTTCTTGAGAATATCAATTAACAATTAGTATCTCGCACATCAGTGCGATGGTCTTTCACAAAGGATATGCAGAACTCACCGTATCAATATCTAAAACTGGTGTTTTCTCGAAAGCGTTTTGAATTGCAACTCGATGTTTCGGTGAGAGCAGTCTTGAAATGATTGCGACATTCACGTCGCGTAAAGCTTGAAATGCACCTCTTTCCAGTGATATCAGCATCAGACAAGCTGGACTACCCTCCCATAAATACGATACAAATGCATGCACAAAACCCCTGAAACACTGTCAATATGAACACCGAAATGTATGTAAATGCTCACAACTTCCTAGCAAAATTAACCAATTAACCTTTCAAAAGAAAACACGACGCACGAATTTCCATTCAAAGCGGCATATACTAACGAATCGATTAAAAACTGATTGCAAAAAGGATAATAATGATCATAATAACACTAACGTATCATTAAAATTAGGCAAACAAATTGGAATCCAATTGTCAGCATTTCGAAACGAAGGATTACATTCCAACAAATTTATCAGAATATGCAAATCAGAAGGATGCAACGCTATTCCTTTCATACGCACCAACGTTACTAATTGACGATGTGCTAACACTAATCCAAATACCACATTTGATAGCTGAATTTGAATCGGTGTATAACAGATTACCTCATAAATCACTTGAAACAATAATANAACAACAACAATACCTTAGCACTGTTCATACAGTTAATGATTGTCATCGATATAAGCTCACGTTCAGTGGAGTTCATCGGGAATACACGTATTGACCGCAGAAATACGGACGTATCACAGCGAAACGATCGGATTATCTCATTGAAATGCCTTTCTGCGCCTTAACTCGTTCCACTGCTTTACTGGCAACGTTACACAGAGATTCGTTATGTGAAAATTGATTAATTAAGAGAACTGAATCAAAAAATACCTTTGAGCAATAAACGAAGATCAAAATTTGGTCCTCTCTTTTGGAAAACAGAAACCAATTGAGCACGACACAGAGTTGAAATCACCTTCAATTACCGTTATATATTTTACAGAATATACAAGCAAGTCTCACAAGATGTAAAACAGCAAAACAATATTCACAAGACACGCATCATCTCAATATTCGCAAATGATAAACCCGACACCAAAGATGAATGAATAATAACCTGTTTATAAACCAGATCAACTTGAGCACTGAGTTGGAAACGATCCCTTGAAACGATACACAGTATCAGCGAATTTCGGTGCGAAAAATAAATGTGAACGTCCGCAGACTGTATCTGTACGAGACAATCGCTCCACGAGTCGACAACCATCACGAACGTCTGCACCAATGCCATCAACGAACACAATCGCTCCTCATGACCGCATGACGCGAAAATCGGCTTGCCAGCTTCGGATAACATGAAAATCTGAAACTGCATTCCTTGAGGAAAGCGAATGCCTACAAATATCGCTGGAATCAACACCAACTACTCGACAATTCAGGGACGGAATTTGATGGCAACTGAACTGCTCAGAAGGGATTTTCATGAAAGTAAGTCTCCATATTGGAAATAAACGATTATGGCTTAGCGATTCAAATGACATGAACGATTGGACGAGTGATCAGATAAGCTGATGTTCAAGAGAATATTCTGTGGAAGCGACGATACCGTGAAATCACGACGTGCTAATTCTGCCAACAGACATTCCTCATCGTACGCAACCTCGTCGTGTTCCTCACTAACTGGGATTATTTGATCTGCATTTAGTATCTGAACAAATGAAGTTGACTTCTGAGGAACATGTGTAATTGTAAACTTGCTACTCACGCTCCCTTCCATCTTCAGAAATGAAAGC